ATCTGGGCAGTCTGGTCAGGTACTGTTGGGTCCATCCGTTGGAGTCCAGCTAGCTGGTCCAGTCAGGGCGGTCTGGTTCGGTCCGGTTGGTTGGGTCCAGCTGGCCGGTCGGGTCGGGTCCGGTTGGGTCTGTCCGGTCGGGTCCAGCCGGCTGGTCTGGTTGGGTCCGTCTGGTTGGTCAGGTCCGGCTGGGTACATCCGGTTGGGTCCTGTTGGTGGGATCAGCCAAATCCCACAGGTTGCATCCAGCTGGCCGGTCCGGTTGGGTCCGTCTGGTTCTGACTAGTTGGTCGGGTCCAGCTGGCTGGTCTGGTCGGGTCCGGTTTGGGTCTATCTGGTTCAGTCCTATGTTGCATCATGTAATGCGGTTCTGGGTGTCTCTGCAGCTGTATCCCAGGATCAAACCCAGGCAGAGGTCCTTGGCATGAAGGCCTGACCCAGGAGGAAGAGGAGGAGGAAGAGGATGCAGTCAGCAGAGGAAGAGGAGGAGGGACCTTCACCCTCACAGGTGGCAGCAGACTGGATCAAAGAAGGTGATGGAACCGACCCGGAAGGACTTGTGGGACAGGCTGCTGGAAGACGACAAAGGAAGGAAACCAGTATGTGAAGAAAACGATTTTAATGTTCCGGTTCTGGTCCAAAAGTCAAAATATGGTGGTACCAGAACTCAGCCCATCTGCCGGGTGGTTCTGATGCTTTATTCTCTTATTGTGTAGCTTTATTCTAACTGTTTAGTCACTTCCTGTGTTTCCACTGTGGGAACCTTCCATGCCTCGCTGCTGCCATCTGGTGGATGGTTCTAGTTTGTTTCATCTCTTTCTCTGCATGCTGACAGCTAATGTAGAAATATAATAAAAGAATGACCCCCACAGGAAGTAGAGGTGTGGAGTCTGTTTTAGCAGGTGGTTCTGATCACATGTTCTGCCTGAAAAAAAATGTCTGCTGGGATTTTCCCTGCAGACCAAAAATGAGGTCTGGATTATTTTTAATTTAACCCTGAAGTTGCTTTGAGATTCAGAATCTCTTTTATAAGATACATCTGGCTGCGGTAATTTCTGCAAAAGCATTCAGAATAAACATCAAATTATATTTTCATGGTAAAAGAATATATATATATATATATATATATATATATATATATATATATATATATATATATATATATATATATATATAAAATCAGATTTTAAGAAGAACCAGAGAAGATCTCCTTATCGCAGCATTCTCTGCAGGAGTTTTAAATTCATTAATCAGGGTTTTTTGCTCTTTCTGTTGTTTCTTTCTTCCCCAAAATGCTGAATAAAAAAATCTGTTTTTATCAATCCGGTTGAAACTTGAGGCTCATTTTAAGGAACCATTAGAGGAAGGTTAGGAAATGGTAGAAGAGCAACCAGAGTGGAGGTCCCAGAGCTGCAGGGGAGGTTTGCCAAGTAAAGGTTCATAGATAAAGATATAGAAGTCCAACCATTTAGATCAGCATGTAGTCTACCATCTATATCTCCATAATCTATGATTATGGAAGAAAAGCAGCTTCCACAAGTTTCTTCTGAGCTCCAACAGTAAATCAAAATTTGTTCCTGAAATAAAAGTCATGATTGACTTGAAGTTTCTGGAATCAAGCAGAAATGTGTTTATTAAAGGAGAACTGATTGTTTATCTAATGACAACAACCTGGACTACAGAGAGGAGGTGGAGCAGCTGGTGGTGCAGAGATAAACGCCTGATCCTGAACGTGGAGAAGATGAAGGAGATCATGGTGGACTTCAGGAAGAACCGTCCTAACCACGCTCCACTGCTCATAAACAACTCAGCTGTAGAGGTGGTCAGCAGCACCAAATTCATCACAGACACCCTCACCATGGACTGTTCTCCCTGCTGGCCTCTGGGAAGAGGCTTCCCGGCATTCAATGCAGGACCAGCAGGTTCTGCAACAGCGTCTTTCAGTTTTTTTAAGACTGCAAAATGTTATTGTCTAGAGCTGTTTTAAACAAAACACTCGTGTATACAAAATGTCAAAGTAATCTGTCTAAGTCTAGGTAATCTATTTATCTATATCTATTATTCCCACAGAGAATATGCTCTCAGCTGATTTCCCATCAAACGACAAGAGACCCTATTTGATAATTATCTGTGTTCAGCCGTTTAAGAAGACCATAAACTTTCCTTCCTATGTATTTAAAGCCCGTTTTAGACCCAGTAACGTGTTTTAGATGAAGTGAAGTGGGAAGTTCCTGCTGGAAGCCTGGGTGCAAACCACTGCATCATCAGCATAAAAATGAAACCTCGCTCAACATCTCCATCCAATTCATTTAGGAAGATGGAAAACAGACTGGGTCCTAATGTTGAGCGACTCCTTTGGTTATCTCAAGAAAAACCTTCAGCATAAACACGGTACGATCTACGAGATCCTTCTGGAAGCAGGCAGCAGCCGTCTGACCTCAGTTTGGTCCATAACCATCCATGATCATCTCATCAAACACCTTCCAAACTGATAATGTTTCCTATCTAAGGTCAAACGATATCTTTAGCGGAGCTTTGATGGGGCTACGACCACTACTGAAATTATACAGTAAATTTTTACTTTAGCTGAAATGTTCAGCTAAAGTTCTAACTACTTTCAAAATGGATTCCAAACATGAACATAGAGTTTGGATCTGGATGTTTTATTCGGTTCTGATGGCTCTCCAGCTGTGTGGAGGACATGGACAGCTTTAGAGCTTTTGGGGATGGAATTAAACTGAAGACTTCAACTGCAAGATGTGGATTATCTGGACCTGTATATATTTATTGCTTTGTGTCTGTCAGGGCAGAAATTGGATTAAAATGAAATTATTCCATCTTCCTGCACCTCGCTGCCGCACTGTGACATCATCGGCCTTTGAATCTGGCCTTCAGAGGACACAGCCCCTGGATTGGAACTCAGCCCAGGTTTCCATGTTGTATTTCTCAGACAGATCAGCTGTGATTGATGGAGGTCAGCCGGGGACGTCCTGCTGCTTCAGCTCAGTGTTTCCAGCTTCATGCTGATGGAATCTGATCCCAGGTCATCCAGCTCCTGGCTGAGCCGCCTCATTGAATGCCGTCTGTCCTGCAGGCTGAACTGCCTCTGTGGACCAAATGACATGAAGGGGGACGTTTGAAGCTGGACAGCAGACACCAGGAGGGACCTCAAACTCAGATGGAGGGACAGGATCCTGGAACGTAGAGATGCATTCTTTAGATCAAATGATCCCTCACAGCAGCTCTGCAGGGACAGAGGGAAGGAGGGACAGAGCGAGGGTCCACTTATGGAACCCCCCGAAAAAACCATGTGAATGTGAAACACAGCAGGAATCCATGTTGTAGATGAACTGATCTTCAAGCATCTAGAGTAGTTTTTCTTCTTAACAGATGGAAAACGGCTGCTGCTGCACTGCGTCACACTTTCAACATAAGAAACGTTCCACTTTAGATGCAAAATCCCATCATCACCGCAACATTTTTTTTGCAACATATTCAAACACAAACGTCAAATATAATAGGAACATTACTCTTATATTCTTTAGTTTTATTATAATTTAAATTGTTGCAAGGATTTTTTCAGTTTGAAGAAATAGAAAATTACACCATCTGCCAACCGTCACCAGGATGAGCATGAAGGAAGGTCTGTAGACTTAGACTTAGTCAGACTTTATTGATCCCTTGGGAAGACTCCCTCCGGATATTAAGGTTACCAGCAGCTTACAGTGCAAAAAAAGTATTAAGGAGTTCAAATTTTACAGAAAAAATAAAAAAAATACAAGTGTTGCTACTCCTTTCCTCTTCCCCCTGTCCTGTGTTGCCTCCTCGTCCCCAGTGAGGCGTTGTACAGCCTGATGGCGTAGGGGACAAAAGAGTTCTTAAGTCTATTGGTCTGGCACTTTGGAAGCAGCGGTCTGTCACTGAATAGGCTCCTTAGGCTGCTGATGACGATGTGCAGAGGGTGGCTGCTGTTGTCCATGATGTCCATCAGTTTATTTAGTGTCCTCGCCTCTGCCACCGTCACCAGAGAGTCTAGCTTCATGCCGATCAAGGAGCCGGCCCGCCTGATCAGTTTGTCCAGTCTGGACGTGTCCTTCTTGGATGTGCTGCCTCCCCAGCACACCACGGTGTAGAAGAGGACAATCACAGACTGGTAGAACATATATAGTTTGCTGCAGATGTTAAAGGACCGCTGTCTCCTAAGGAAGTACATCCTACTTTGTACCTTCCCGTACAGGTTGCTGGTGTGTTTTGACCAGATATATAGATTCTGCATGCATCGTTTAGGGAGTTAACATTGGATTACTGCTTATTTACTTTTCACAGGTAGGAGCACCATTGTCAGGGCCGCTATGACCCTAGAAGCCTGAGGGGCCGACATCCTAAATTTCCACAGATTTTCTTTCTTTCTATGAAAACTGTTGATCTGGTTCTCAGGATCTGGACCGGTTCTGTCCGGTTTGATATAGAAATGATCCAAACTATGTTCTGACAGGTGAGAGAGGGAATAATGGTGACCAGATTTTATTCACTTTGATCTGTTATAGAGAGTGAATTAATTTAACAAACTTTTAAATAGAATCTGAATGAATAAAACATAATAATGTGGGACAGGTCCATAACTGTGGACTTTGGATGCTATAAAAGCTCCGCCTCTGGACTCACCTGGAGCAGCAGGTAAGTTCCGCTCCGATCCAGCTCACTCTGCAGGGACTGGTTCTATAAAACTATTGGCTCTGTTTCTAAAGCTCAATGATTCTAAAGCTTTAATTTATTTGAACCTTCAGATCAGATCCAGTCAGCACCGGAACCTTCAAAATAAAGCTAAACAGAATCGTTTTTCATCCAGACTTCTCTTCATTTTGTTATTTTCTTATTTATCTCCATTTATCATGTTTAATACAGACTTACAGAGTAAACAATATGTTAATGAAACCACATTTTTGGTGCTTTTGTTTTGAAGAGTTAAACGGAAGTGCTAGCTTATTCAGCTACAGGCACCGAGTTTAGCACACAGCTACTAACTGCTAAAGTATTCTTAGTAAATATTTAGTTTCTGTCTGCAGTCGCAGCTTTTAAGGTTTTAATCATGATGATCAATCTTTAGTTTATTAATATTTAGTTTATTGTGACGTTTCATTAAAGGTGAGTCTATTTTCTCTGCTTTCTTAAAGTCTAACCGAGTTTACCCTCCATTAACCGCTAGCTAGTCACCTGGAAATGCTACCTGCACCTGTAGGATCATTATTTTAATAAAACCGTTAAGTGTTATTAAAGAATTGCTGCTTTAATCCATAGAAATGTTAGAAGAACGCCCCTCTCAAGATGGCGTATACGTCAAGTATGCGCCATCTTGGAAGGGGAGATCTTATGCTGGTTAATGACAGGTTTCTCACAGCAAGAATAGCTCATAAAACATTTAAATAGTTTAGAGCTGAATGGATAATTTCAATGCATGAAATGATGTAAACAATATTTATACAAAAGTCAACGAGAATATTGTTTCTATAAATGAACAGATAAACTGTGAAGAGGAAGGTGGGAAACAACTGAGCCATTAGATCAACAAACTAATAATGATCACATCTAGATAACGATGAGACCTGGCTGACGCTGGATTTATGTGGCGTCGTAATTATGGTAAATACTAAAACATGAAAATCCACTCATGTTGTAGTTTCAACTGGAAAGCTGGAAGATCCAGTGATACCTGAGATGAGGTCCTGTATCACTGATTGGAGGTGTTTCAACATGGCGGAAAGCAGAGAAATGGTTCTGTGTGGTGAAAACCGCATCGTTTTTCTCTCCTCTTCTGTTTGTAGCTCAAACAATGCTGTGATATATATATATATATACCGGTATATATATATATATATATATATATATATATATGTATATGTATGTGTGTGTGTGTGTATTAAAAACATATTAACATTTTAACTTGTTGCTTTTGAAATGACCGTTGTTATTATTAATCAGGCAGTCGATGCATTTGCTGCATCCTCTTCCTCCATGTTTTCTCTCCTCCACCAAAGCAAAGCTCTTCAACACGATGGCTGCTCGTTTCTACTTAACCAGTGGTCAGAAATCAACGCTGCCCACATTAAAGATCATCCTCTATGAAATCAGCAGCTTTCTTTTCGCCTGCGGAGGAGGGGGCATCTGCCACATTAACTGTTTCTGATGCTGAAGAGGGAAGCAGTGCTATCAATAGACAGCCTAGGAGGGATGAAATAGAGAAACCTAGAAATCATTTTCTGAAAGAGTTTTCTAACTGTGGTCATCTTGAGAAAGAAACAATTCAGACAGCTAATTCTGTCTGTATTGCTGCTGATTCAGTGTTGTTGCCCCCAGGTGAGGGGGCGTCCCAGCCTGCACCTGATGCTCCACAGGTGGATGATATGGAGTATGACAGTGAATCAGACACCGTTTCAATCGCATATTCCCAAATATACAGTGGTGACTTGTATACTTAAGAAGAAATCAATGTTTTCCTTGATGAAACTTTTGAAAAACTTGTTAAAGTCAGAGATTATTTTCCTGATGTTGAAAAATGTATCAAGAGTGCACGAATGGTACAGAAAACAGTTGGCTTTGAAATGCTTGATGAAAAGAAATGATTCCGTTTTAAAAAAGCATATGAGAAACATCCAGAGACAGTTATTAGTAAACTGGGTGGTCTTTTCTTTACCGTCTTTGTCTGTCCTTCCTTTCTTTTTCACCTCCATGCATAACATCAGGGTGGGATCTTTAAACATCAATGGTTGGAGGGATCCATTTAAAAGAGCAGTTAGTTTGGAGATGATCATTCAAAAGAAGCTAGATGTTTTGTTTTTACAGGAGATACATACCGATCGTCAAAACGAGATAGAATGGGGTATCAGTTGGAAAGGGAATTATTTTTGTCTCATGGGAACAGGTCATCTGCTGGTGTAGCTATTTTATTTTCTCCAGGATTGATTGCTAACATCAAATCACAAACTGAGTTAATGCCGAGCAGGGTCCTGGTGATTAGAGCAGAAATAGAAGGCTTTTATTTCTGTTTTATTAATGTTTATGCACCAAACCAAGGAGGGGACAGGATTGAGACTTTTGAGAAGAAGTTATTTGCAGCAGTCTAATCAAAATGAGTGTGTTGTGATGGGTGGGGATTGGAACTGCACTACTAACTTCACTACAGATAGAACAGGCAAGAACCTCATCTTCCGTCTTCTTTTAAGTTGTTTCAGCTGATTTCAGAGCTGAATTTAGTTGATGCTTGGAGGAATAAACACCCTCAAGATAAAAATTAAGGATGGAACTGTTAGTGGGGCTAGATTGGATAGATTTTATATCTCTGATTTTCATAGAAATAGACTGTCTGACTGCCTAATTTGTCCAGTTGGTTTTTCTGACCATCATCTAGTCTATATGGATTTGTGTCTTTCATCCACTATTAGAAGTAAATCTTATTGGCATTTCAATATTAAACTGCTTCAAGTCAAAGTTTTAGTAATTTTTGGCAGTTATGGAAAGAAAGGAAGATTTTACATCTTTAACTGAGTGGTGGGAGGTTGGTAAGGCTCAGATTAGAGTCTTCTGTCAACAATGCACAAGTCATTCTACAACTAAAATTTAAAATTTGATTCAGAATTTAGAAAATGAAATAACACAATTGGAAAATGACGTGCTTACAGATATTATAAATAATGATCAGCTTAAACAAAACAAAGATCAGTTAAGTCATTTTTTTTATGAACGGTCTAAAGGGGCTTTAGTCCGGTCGAAGTTTGTTAATATTGAAGACATGGATGCTCCTACATCCTTCTTTTTCAACCTAGAGAGAAATATCAGTCAAACGAAACAGCTGATTGGCCTTCGGCTTCCAGATGGAACTCTGACCCCTGACCCTAACACCATGAAGGAGCAGGCTGTAGCCTTTTATAGTGATGTTTTCAAGCGGCAGGACTGTAACAGACGAGGCTGATGTAGTCCTCTCTGCTCCCAGGTAGATCTCCTGGACCATGTCTCAGCATTTCCACCTGAACACTCCTCTGCTGGAGAGCGTCAGCATGTCCAAGCGGGTGGGGACCACCGTTTATTTGAAGATGGAGAACTGCCAGCCCTCTGGATCCTTCAAGATCAGGGGGATAGGACACCTGTGCCAGCAGGTGGGGCTGCTGAACATCTGTCCTGGACCTCCTCCCCCATGTATGATGTTGACTGACTGACCTGTTCTCTCAGCTTGCAGGACAGAGCAGAGGAATCGTTTGTTCTTCAGGTAACATCTGGATCAGGAACCAGCCTGGGGTTGTCCTGCTCTGGTACTGATGGGCTGTTTTCTCCAGGAGGGAATGCTGGTATGGCTGCAGCCTATGTGGCCAGAAGAATGGGGCTTCCAGCGACTGTGGTGGTTCCCTCCTCCACCCCTCAGCTGGTGGTCCAGAGGCTCCAGGACCAAGGAGCTGCTGTCAGGATTGTAGGGAAGGTAAGACCCTCTTTTCTTAGAAGGCAGCCAGACCCCCTCTACCGCCCTGCCTGCACAGCCTCAGGCTCCGTCCTCTGGAGAGAAGTTCCAAGAAGCATGCTGAGACCATCCTAAAGCCAGAGAGGAAATCTGCCTGACTCATAGCCTGGCCAGAAGTTCTCCTCCTCAGTTTCCAGCTTCCATCACTGCTGGTCTCCATCAACCAGCACAACCAAGAAAGACCTCCAGGCAACAGCAGCTGCTTCTGGAAGCTACATATCCTGTAAAATGCTGAACCTGGACACTTTGTTCTCAGCCTCCCTCTGAAGATCAGGATGTCTGTCAGATACTCCTGTTGCTCCTGATACTCCTTCGTTTGGCTTTTTCTTTGGCTCTACTTCATTCAGAATAGTCAGGATATCATCCTGAGCTATCTCTATAGTTCTGCTGCTATAGGCTTAGACTGCTGGAGGACATAGGGTATGGAGAGCCATTTCAGCCAAAATTAAATAAATAAAAAATGAGTAAAATAAATCAAAAAATGAAGAAAATGAGTGAAATAAATAAAAAATTTGTTAAATAAATAATTTAGCTTTTTCATTAAACCAATTTTTAATTTATTTATTTTTCATATTATCAATTTCCCAATTTCTATTTTTCATTTATCTATTTGTCATTTATCCCTTTATCCATTTACCCATTTTTCATTAATCTAATTTTCATTTAACCACTTTTCAATTTCCCTTTTTCATTAAGCCAATTTTTTTATTTATTTATTTTTCAGTTTATCTATTTCTCAATTTCTGTTTTATCTATTTTTCATTTGTCCATTTTTCATTAATCTATTTTTTAATTTAACCATTTTTCGATTTCCTTTTTCCATTAACCCGATTTCCTATTTCCCGGTTTCATTAATCAATTTCTCATATATCCCTTTTTTTACTTACCCATTTTCTTTTATCTATTTTTCATTTACCCATTTGTTTGAAAAAATTTTAATTTTCCCATTTTCCAATTTCCCTTATTCATTAAGTATTTCCTTATTTTTTAATTTATCACATTCTATTTTCCCCTCTTCGCTTATAAATAAAGGGATAAATGAAAAATGGACAAATGAAAAATAGATAAAACAGAAATGAAGAAATAGATAAACTGAAAAATAAATAAATAAAAAAATTGGCTTAATGAAAAAGGGAAATTGAAAAGTGGTTAAATGAAAATTAGATTAATGAAAAATGGGTAAATGGATAAAGGGATAAATGACAAATTGATAAATGAAAAAGAGAAATTGGGAAATTGATAATATGAAAAATAAATAAATTAAAAATTGGTTTAATTAAAAAGCTAAATTATTTATTTAACAAATTTTTTATTTATTTCACTCATTTTCTTCATTTTTTGATTTATTTTACTCATTTTTTGTGAGGGATTGCTGAAGAGTCAATGAGTCGATCCAATCAACGGGATTCTTTAGATAGAAAACTTTAAAATAATCTGACAGGATGATCTGGTTGATCTGGATCTATAAAGTGACCTGAACCGGTTCAGACTGGTTCCAGGTGATCAGACCAACAGACTACCCTGTGGTAGAAGGTGGTGTTTCATGTGAACCTTCTCCATCCACCACCTAGATGGGGTCAGGGAGGTACTGCCTCCTCCTTGTTGGAGTTAATGACGAAGTTTCGTAGGGTTTGATGATTCCAGCTGCTTGGAGGCCAAACAGAGAGAGATGTTTATGGATCAGACTTCTGGAGAAACCTTGCTGTTATTCTTGACCTCCAGGTCTGGGACGACGCCAATGCAGAAGCTCTGAGACTGGCAGAGACAGAAGGCCTGACCTTGGTTCCTCCGTTTGATCACCCTCTGCTGTGGTAGGAGCTTCTCTGTTCAGAGGATCATCATGTTTGCAGCCTGTGAGGAGCAGAACATCCCAAGATTTCTCTGAATCTTCCAGGCAGGGCCACGCCTCCTTGGTGGCCGAGGCTGCAGCCGCTCTGGGCCCCGACAGGAAGCCCGGCGCCATCCTACTCTCCGTGGGAGGGGGGGGACTCCTCTGTGGGGTCGTCCACGGTCTGAGGGACGTTGGCTGGATGGATGTGCCCATCATTGCCATGGAAACAGTGGGAGCCGACTGTTTCAACGCTGCAATAAAGGCGGGGAAGGTGGTGACGTTGGAGGACATCACCAGGTTGGTGCTTTGGGGTTTCTGAAGGTCCGTCAGGGGCTCGAAGTTCCGGTCCAGAGGAGGTCGGGTTTCCTGCTCAAACAGAGAAGACATGTTCTGGTTCCGGTTCTGATTCCTACCAGAAGGTTCTGCCAGAACAAAGAGTTCTAGATGTAAAACAGAATAGAATTCAACTCTATTGTAACTAGAAAGCAACAAAATTCCCTCTCTACATTTAACCCATCCACTTAGAGACCAATGGGGTGGCAGTCTGTGGCCCTGGATTCATAGCTCTATGCTCTAACCATTTGGCTGCCGCTCATCCTGTTTTTCTAGACAAACGTTCAGGCTTTAGGAATCAGAGAAAATCCTCTGGAAAGCTTCCTCTTCAGGGAACTTTTCTAGTTCTGCAGAACCCCCCAGGGCCCGAGTTCAGCAGCCTGTATAGCCGACTGGCAGTTTCAGGATAAACCAGGTCCTGATGGACGGTTGTGGACTGATGCTGATGAAGATCTGATCTCTGGTCAGATTCATGTGGATCAGATGAGAGGAAGGTTCTGATTGGCTGCAGATAAGGATTAAAATGCCCAACAATCAATCTTTTAATTCTGTTTTTCATTCATTGATTAGAAATAAATATTTAAGCAGCTTTGAAACCAGCTGAAGCTAAAGACGCTGAGTGTTTGTATTTTATTTATTTAGCGTTTTTATCCAAAGTGACTTATAAAGCAGGCGTTAGCATGAAGCGGACCCACCCTGGCAGCGGGGGTTCAGACCCAGGGCCTCCTCCACTAAAGCTAGCCGCACTTTACATCAGAAAGACTTAATATTTCAGGGTTTCTGAGTCTGCATGCTCCAGTAAGGGATTGATGATGATGTCATTCATGACCGATGCGTCCGCAGTGAAGCCAAGTGTCTGGGAGCGAAGACGGTCTGCCAGGCGGCCTTCGACTTCAGCCAGAGCGGCGAGCTGAACATCATCTCAGAGCTGGTGAGCGACCAGGAGGCACTGAAGGCTGTCTGCACCTTCCTGGGTGGGTGACCTCCTCCTGCAGACGTCTGTCTAACCCCCCGCTCTGAAACATGCTCTGAAACACGCTCTGAAACATGCTCTGAAACACGCTCTGCTTCTTGTCTTGCAGATGAGGAGCGCGTTCTGGTGGAGATGGCATGTGGAGCAGCGTTGGCGGCTGTCTACAATGGACTGATAGCCAGACTGCAGAAACAAGGCAGATAATCCTTCCTCCTGTTTGGATCAAACTGTTGGTCATGAACGGCGTGAATACTTTCTGCTCATTACAGCCATTATTTAAAGAAACCTCTTCAGACGTTGATTCCTGCTGCAGGAAGGTGTAGATCTAGAGCAGCCCGAGCTTTGGCCACATCTGAGACTCTTGTCTGTGTTTCAGGTGGTCTGCCGACTCCCCTTGGCCCCCTGCTGGTGGTGGTGTGCGGCGGAAGCGGCATCAACATGGAGCAGCTGGACAGTCTGAGGCAGAAGCTGCTGAGCTGAACCAGTGGATACTGGGACCAGTTCAAAGCTGGAAACTAGAAGCTCTGAATGACGGTGTGATTTACTTTAGCTGGGAGTTTAATGGAGGCCGTGGAGACGCTTGATGATGATGATGATGATGATGATGATGATGTGATGATGATGATGATGATGATGATGATGATGATGATGATGATGATGATGATGATGATGAGATGGACCTGGCCAAACCTGAAATCTCTGCCTTGGATCAGAACCTTCTTCCTGCTTCATGTGATTAAGACCTGAATTAAAGCAAAGTAGAAATAAAGAATGAGAAGAGTCTGGGCTGGATGAGCTTCGCTGGTGAACTTTGACCCCTCAGGATCAGATGCTTCTGTAGCTGCAGCGAGCATCGTCATCATCAGCACATGGAGTTTGTAGAAGATGAAGATAGTTGAGAATCTGAGCTCAGTTTCTCCTTCTGTGGATGTTTGAGCATATCGCCATGGAAACAGTGTAGAAAGTTGTGCTTAAGGGGCCGAATGTGTTTCTGTCAGGGCTGATAAACATGGAGGCTCAAAGCGAAGCTTAGAGCCACAGCAGAATAATCAACTTAATAAAGAAAATTAGACATATAATCAAAAGATTTGTTCTTTATTATTTGTTTGTGTGCAGATCTGAAAACTTCTAGATTTATTAAAGATTCTATGACCTGGTTTTATTTCCACTCATCTTGCCATCATCGTCTGATGACATCAAGGGACACAACAATCCCTTCAGGTCCACGTTCACAGACCTACAGTCTCCACCTTTATTGGAGAGTCTTTATGAGACTGACCGACTTTACCAGACTGCCTTCATTGGACCCAGAGTCTTCATCGCACCTTCTTTATCGGACCGCCTTTATCAGACTGTCTTTATCAGACCGTCTTCATCGAACCGTTTTCATCGGACCTTCTTCGTTTGACCATCCTCATCAGTAGACCATTTTAGTAGACCATTTTCATCGGACCCACAATCTTTAGCAGACCGTCTTCATCGGAACGCCTTTATTGGACCGCCTTTGTTGGACCGTCTTTGTCGGACGGTCTTTGTCGGACCTTCTTCGTTGGACTGTCTTCAATGGAACAACTTTACTGGACCGTCTTCATCGGACTGTCTTTATCGGAGTGTCTTCATCTAACCATCTTTATCGGACCGTGTTCATCGGACCGACTTCGCTCAACCGTCTTCATCGGACCGTCTTTGGCGGACCGTCTTCATTGGACCACCTTTATCGGACCTTCCTCTTTGGACTGTCTTCAGTGGAACGGCTTTATTGGATCGTCTTCATCGGACCGTCTTCATCGGTCCGTCTTTACTGGACCATCTTAATCTAACCTTCTTTATCGAACAGTCTTTATTAGACAGTCTTTACGGGACCGTCTTCATTGGACAGTCTTAGTCGGACCGTCTTCTTCGGACAGACTTTACTGGACCGTCTTCTTCGGACAGACTTTACTGGATCGTCTTCATCGGACCGTCTTTATCGGACCGTCTTCTTCGGACAGACTTTACTGGCCCATCTTCATGGGACAGACTTTACTGGACCGTCTTTATCGGACCGTCCTTATCGGACCTTCTTCTTTGGACAGACTTTACTGGATCGTCTTCATCGGACTGTCTTCTTCGGACAGACTTTACTGGACCGTCTGCATTGGACCGTCTTCATCGGACCGTCTTCATCGGACCGTCTTCATCTGACCTGCTTTATCAGACCGTGTTTATCGGACCGTCTTCATCGGACCGACTTTACTGGACCGTCTTCATCGGACCGTCTTTATCGGTAATGAGATGGTTTCTGAAGAAGAGTTTAATTCCAGCAACCTTAAAAGCCTTTGGTACATATCCCTGTAACATAGATAGAATAATCACATCTAGAATGTAGGAAGAGATCAAAGGGAATACCTCCTTAAATGACCTGGTTGGAACTGGATCTAACATACAAGCTGAAGGCTTAGATGAAGACAATAGTTTTGCTAACTCTGAAAGTTCAACTGGATCAAAGCAGTCTAAACCCGGTTCAGATTCCATGACTACCTCACATGCTGCCCCACCCTCCAGAGACAAACCAATCGCGGATAGAGGAGTGCTAATGATCTGATTTTTAATAAGATCAATCCTATTTATAAAGAATCCCATAAAATCATTCCTGCCAATAGCAGGTGGAATGGACGGTTCAACTAAGCTATGGCTCTGGGTGAGTTTGGCAACTATATTAAAAAGAAATCTAGGATTATTCTTATTCTCCTCTATTATTGAGGAGAAATATGCTTCTCTTGTTTTACAAAGGGTCCTCTTATACAGCAGTAAACTATTTTTCCAGACTACGTAGGATTCCCGTAGGCCTGTGGAGCGATATTTTCTCTCCAGTTTCCTAGTATTTTGCTTCAAAGTGCGCGGCTCTGCATCAAACCAAGGAGCCAGCTTTCTATTTTTACAGTTTTAATTTTCAAAGGGGCTGCATTGTCTAAGGCAGTATGCAGAGAACTAGCAACCCCATCAACAAAATCATCAACCTGTGAAGGGGAATAAACTATGCTTTTGCACTCTGCAGCACTGCATAAATCCAGAGCTATATCATCATCACAGACATCTGAGCCTCTCCCCATTTTAAGCTGCTTTTATACTCTCTTTATCGCACTCTGTAGATGCACGTGCATGACCGGATGTTCTGTCGAAATCTTACTGAAATGTGTGCTGGCCAAAGCCAGAGTTGGCTCTGACACTCAAACAGGAAAAAGATGTTTCCTGTTTTTGCCAATATCTCTTGGCTTATAACCTGAGTATGTGCAAATCAGCAATTAGGATTCTTGTTTTCACTGAGATTCGTTCGTGACCTCCAGCATGTATTACTTATTATGGAAACAGAAGAGGCTTTTTTACTAAGCCCCGAACAAGGCTATATACCAACAGTACAATTGCTTCTGCAACCTCAATCCTACTGAGCATCTTTGGAGGGAGCTGAAACAGCCGCCTGAGACTCCTGGATGAGGAGTGGAGCAGAGGTCTGACTGACAGAGCAGCTGTTCCCAAACTATTAGCAACCAACCAAAGCTCCTGTCATCATGGCTCCCATTATGGATTGGTCCACCTAGAACTGAACTGGAATAAAGTTACAGCATCAGCAAAGGGATCATGGGGATTTTCAAGACTCAGATCAGTCAAGAGATCAAATCTACCTCACATCTTACTCACATCTACCTCATATCTACCTCACACCTACCTCACACCTACCTCAGGTCTACCTCACACCTACCTCACATCTACCTCACACTTATCTCACACCTACCTCATATCTACCTCACACCTACCTCACAGCTAACTCACATCTTCCGAGCAGCAGCAGCCATGATGTGCCTCAGTGTCCAGCACCACAGACAACGCTGTCTGTTTAAAGCTGTAGACCATCTGCATGCTACAACTCAGAAGGATTCCTTCCTCTATAAAGCATCTTAAAATGAAGCGTAGAAAATTAGTTCTTATTAAATATATTTACTGGTTAATAGAATCGTATTTATTTACTAAAGTTAGTTTGTATTTTTTTTTTTTTACGTCTTCATTATGTGAGGAATAAATGGAACATGTAATTATCGGACCTCCATCCTTCGTCTTAAACATCCCTGGTGTTTCCAGTATCCCGTTTTGGGAATGCCTGACTTACAGGATTCATGGCAGTGATTGACTCTAAAGGTCGGACAACTAAATATTAGGTTAAAGAAAGGATAATTTCAGTCAGGGCCTGTTTGTGACATTATGTTCTGATTCTCTTAAAGACTTGTTGAAAATCTGGCTTTTATCTGTTCTTTTTCAAATAATTTTGTTAGATTATTACTTCAGTCAGATTTCTGTGAACATCGTGGATTCTTCTGTCATTAAACAGAATTTGGGGATCGACCAGGTAGAACTGAGTTTTCTAATTTCTCTCCTCCTGTTTTGAAGGAAGTGCCACACAAGTGTTTAAAACTAAATGTGGGGGTTTTATGTTTTAGGAACAGAATTTGTTTTTCACACCGAGTCAGAAGGCCTCTAATTTCCCGCTCATGGATTCTGGAGCTCTGCTGTCCATGGACTCCTCAGCACTGCGCTTCATGACCAGCTGTAGCTTCATCTCTTGTTACCTTGGGAACAGAGACAGCTGATCATTTGGCGTCTGGAACTGGACCGATGTTTGATGCTGCCTGTTTGGGTATTTTATGTTTATTTTGCTGCCGTCTTTGCCAGCTCACTCTGGAAAAGATCTTTAAATCTCACTCATTCATTTCCCTACATGCTGCCCTGTCCTCTCTGAGCGGCTGGGTTCCTTCCTCCTCTGGATCAGCTGGGAGACGGAGCAGCTGGTGGATGAAGCCACCTGTTTCTATGGCAACAGGAAGGCAGGGAGACGAGTGGCAGCTATTAATAGGAGGAAGTCAGCAGGAGCGGATGGAGAAGACGGTGTTTACCTGCACGCATTGTTATCACCATGGTGATAACAGGTTGTTAGAAAATGAAAATCCCAAAATGAGTTTAGGTTTTTAGCAGCAGAGAAGCATCATGATGAGGAGAGAAGAAGCTCAGGAGCCATTTTATTTTAAGCCAAGAAATGACAAAAGGATGCAGGAAAATAAAAGACAGTTGGCAGTTTAATCACCTTAATGTTTTTTTTTTTTGTCTCCATTTTAATGTTTTTGTTTACTTAAAGGAATAGTACACCCAAAACAT